GGGGAATACGTTACGTAATCGACATACGTAATTGATCTGTTTACATGCCCAATAAGGGATATGTACGGTAATTTTATATTCTCACTTAAAAACCACAAAATGGATCGTTTTACTGTTCTCTTGTTTCCTCTAGTATCCACCGCTCTTCTTTTTATAATTGGTGTACTCTCACCTATTTGGATCCCGTTTGTTGGGTATAATTTTTAATGAATAAATAGAATAAATACATATTCTGTGAAAACCATTTATACTAATATACCAATATTGTTAGACTTTTTATTTTATCTAAAGCAATAGACACCTTCCAAACAGCCCAAGACAATCTGCCTGAAATGCTTCAAACTCTCCTCATGTATGAGAAAAAGCCTGGTCAAGTGCAAAGGTTTCTTGGTAATGTGATCCATAGTTTTCTTTATATGCTGATAGCACAATAATACATATAGCAGTGCTTTGACGCTATTTCTTTAACCTATTTGTAGCTCGCATGGGCAAGAACTTCAGGTGATCCTCATTGATGCCAGAATATCTCAGAAAGCATGCCTTCAGAAACATCGCTGATGTTAAGTTTGAATTTAATGATGAAGCTGGATTTCATATTTTTCTATAATGTACTCGACGGAGACAAGTTTGCTAGGCATGAAAATAAGTGGGTAATGGTGCACAACCAGAAGATGTTAGAGTATGGACAGGAGTATGATGGTGATCAATTGGACAACATTCTCAAAACTATGTCTGGTATCATCCAGCTCTCAGTTAATCAGAAACTTCTGCTATAGCATAGTAAGCCAGCAAAGATAATGATTATTCAGCATACTAATAGAGAAATGACTACAAGATTTGAATATGTACTTGATAAGAATAATATAATTCTTTAAGTTAAATTTGATTTTTCCAAATAATAATCAGAGTTTGTATCAGAAGACCTGGTGAAACTAATTTAATCACTCTGCTTGAGTGTGATTTTTATGATATCATATATAATAACAAAAAGTATATATGTGTGATTGACACAGATACATCAGAAATAATTTTGTCATATCATATTAAAAGAATACTTCAGAAAAGAGGATGGAGTATAATACCAAAAATAGCTGGAGATTATGAGATACCTGCACAACAAATTCCTGCATCTAAGATATTTGAAGTGTCTATTAGTAATAATAATGATAATTAAATCAAGTGGATTCAAGTTAGAATTGTAGTCTGAGAAGAAGATTCTGGAAATCAAGTGGAATATGTTCTTGTTGATAATGATGTTATAGATCAACTAACTTATATACATGAACTAAGAAACCTATTAAAGTTCTTAAGCATTGCAGATGAGATCAAGCTCATCATATTTTTGAATGAATACAATTAATCTTTTAGTTAATCACAATCTCAATAGAAATTTCATATAAAATATGATTAAATAATGACATTACTTTATCAATATAAGAATAGTATCAAATCTAATAACAGTTAATTAATCAATTTTGCACTCTTAATTATTATTTCATAACATTCAATTTATAATTTCTTGAGAATTTTATAATGTCAAGCATAGATTTTCAAAAATAAAAATTTTTCTATGAATTAATATATGATCATAGCCCATCATGAGCTACAACATAATTAATTAAATTTTTCTTGGCAAAATTTTAGCAAACTTTTTTGATAAAAAGTTTGCCAAAAATCACATGTTTATTTTATTTGAATACTTGTTTATTATGTATAAAAAGTGCTTTCAAAAATGGAATTTGAGATTAATTTTCTTAGACAGGAGAATGTCAGACTTATAACTAAGACTACTGGACTTGAGATCAAGAATACTAATATTAAGATCAAGTATGATAATACTATTAATATAATTATGAAGCTAAAGATTGAGCTTAAGAGTAGAATTGAGAAGTTAGAGAAGAGTAGAACAGATACTGTTACTGAAAATGCCAGGTGTGATAATATAATTGCTAAGCTTAAGGCTAAAGTAGTGAAATTAAGAGATAATAATGAGAAAAGTAAATAGCAAATCCTAGATATTTCTTCTAGAGAAGTTATTAATATATCTAGCTCTGTTGTGAATCAGTTTGATAATGCTTCTGAAATTTCATTTAAATTCAAATCTAAAATTCAGTTTTCTTGTATAAGTAAGTAAAAGATATTGAATATAATAATTTTAATTAAATTATCTTTTCTTTAGATCCTTTTAGTTTAGATCTTCATTTTATACTATCTGTATAATAGATTAACTTTATATTACTATTATTATAGTAATATAAATTTCTTTAATTTTATAATTTTTCAAACTTGAAATTTTTAATCAATTAATTAATCTTTAGAAGATATGTAATTTTAAATAATATAATTAATATATTAGTTATAAATTTAATTATAATTTAGTAATATTTTTGTAATATTTTTATAATATTTTGTAATACTTCAAGATTATAAATAAATAATTAGCCCAAAAGTTAATAATAATTTACAAATAATTCAATAATAGTTTAGAAATATTTCAGAAATAATTTAATAACAAATTTAATTTATTTTTCTTATTATCTTTTTCTTTTTAAAACATTTATCTTATTTTTTCATTTTATTTCATTATTTATATTATCTTATAACTTATCATATATATCTTATCTCTTTATTTTACTTATTTATTTATTAATCTTTTATCCTAAAGTTTGTAATTATATATTAGAGTAGCAAATAAGTTTAGATAGAAACTTGTAAAATCTTAAAGATATATAAATATCTCTGCTCTCAAATATAAAATAAATATATTTGAATAGTAATAATTTAATTATTTTTGAAAATACTTGAGTTATACTTATCTTGTAATTTTTCTTTAATCTTTATTTTAATTTTTTGCTTTTATTTATCTCTTCTATCATAATAGATTATATTCTGATTATTTATATATTTTTCTTATCTAAAAAATATAGGTAGTGAATGTCTTTTACTTAAAATAAGTCAAGTATATTTTATTTAATTTAGAAGATTTTTGTAAGCTTTTTCATATATAAAAGCTTTATTTTATTATGATATATACTCTTTATTTGTCTAACAGTTAAAAAAATACTGTTAGAGAGTTTAGTTAGTATACTAAATCTTTTATTTTTGTAATAATATTTGTTACTTTAGTTTTTGATACTTATTTTTAGTTTAGTTTTTATAATTATAACTTTATTTTTATTTATTTTATTTTTGTCTTGTGTTGATATAATACTTATAAGTATTGGTACTTGGAAATCTTTAAAATAATTATAATTCTCTTTATTTTTAAAAATAATTCAGTTTTCACTCTCAAAATTTATTATAGATTATATTCATGATAAAACCTATCTTTCAGAGTATAGTTTATAATATTTGATACTCTCTTTGTAGAACTCAAACTCTTAGAGATTTATTTTAATTTATTTTTATTATTTTTGTTTATTATTTATTTTATTATTTTAAGAATTAGCTACCCTTGAGATATTTATTATCTATTTAATTAATCAGTTTATGAGTATATATTACTCTTTTATTAGACTCCCAATTAATTTATATCTTGAAGAATTTAATAGAAAAGATTCTTGAAAATTCTCATCTCATATTGAATTATATAACTATTATTCTTACTGTTTTTCTGTAAATAAAAATTCAGATAGAAGATTTTTAAATTTTCTTATCTGAACTCAAGACTATCACATGATCTCTCACAACAGACTCTCATAGGAATTATTTAATAATATAGTACAATAAAATCTTATAATTAACCAATTTCAAAGAGAAATTATCAAGTTACTAAATATCTTTATATTTGAAATCAAGATCATAGTTAAATAACAGATTTACCTAGTTAATAATATTCTTCTTGTTTTTGAAGAGACAGATAACTTTAAAATATACTTAATTAATTAACTAACAGAATCAAAATATAAAAATAGTAATTTAAAAGATCTTGAAGAACCAATAGTCATAATCAAAGAAATTAAATCTCAAAGCTCTTAACTAAAAAAAATATCAATAACAGAAGAAATGAAAAATCTTATTCAAGCTCTCATAAAACTTATCTGATCTATAAAGATTCAAAAAATAAAGAAGATTCTTATCTCAATTTATAAATTTAAAAATAATAATCAAAATCTAATTAAGTAGTTATATAACTTCAAAGTAGTTATCAAAGCTAATAGAATTATTAACAAAAGAAAAATTAAAATAGTAAGAGGTAAAGATGATAGTCACAATTACTATATTTTAATACTTATATTGCAATTATATGTTGCAACTTATTAAAAAATTTAATAAAAATCATAGCTTGCCATAACTTATCATAAGTTGCAACTTATCATAACTTATTGTAATTTATTATAACTTATTATAACTTATCATAGCTTGCTATAACTTATTATAGCTTACCATAACTTACTGTAACTTATTATAATTTATTATAATAATATTTTAAAGAATATATTTACAAATTTTCATGATTTTTAA